TAAGCGGGTCAGGCAGCTCTTCCTAATGCCTAGCAACTGTCGGCAGCACGTAGGTCTCAGGCCATGTCAGGCTCACCTGCTGACACTAGAACAGACTGAATAAAAATACAGATTAATGTAATATTATTTTCTTCTTAAACAATTGAACAATGCTTGTATGACCAATGACCTTTCCTATACGAACAATTAAATAGCGGCTTACTTCCTTGTCGTTACTCTTTTAATCGCATGCATTTTTTTTATAATTTTATATGGGCAAGCAAACTCGTTATGTCTTTATGATTTCTGCTACTATTTACTGAAAAGTACAACTATATAACACCATGTCTTTTGTTTGGATGACATTATTATAAAAACTTTTATTTATTTTAAGGTGGGCTGCAATTATTTTATGTAAATGAAATATCTCGAGGCCTGTTTGAGCGTTTTTACGTTTGGCTCAACCATGCACCGAGGCAGTCTGCTGTTTTTCCTTTGCAACTTAACAATAGAAAGGCAGTTTACGTTATTTCGGTTACCATACTGCATTGTTCTAATTGTTTAACTTTGATTCTCATCATCATCCACACTGCTTTGTTTTCAGAATTGAAAATAAATGCTGCGGTTTTTCGTTTTATCCCTTGAGGCCATTTCAATAGGTGATCTTCACATTTAAGCCTGCATCTATTCAGTTCATTATGCTCACTTTATTTGGGCTTTTCATTCGTTTCTGTCTATCATCTGCCCCATGATCTGTACGGCGTTTGTTTCTCAGGAGGGCGGCTATCGATGCGGCTGCCGAGATGGCTTTGAGCTGCAGGCAGATGGCCGATCCTGCGCTCCCGCCCTGCTCTGCTCTCAGACATGCGAGAATAACGGCCGCTGTTTCCGTGGCAAGTGTCTCTGTGCTCCCGGATTCACGGGCCAGCGCTGTGAAGCCGACATCGACGAGTGTCTCGCCTCGGTTTCGGTGCATGGCTGCAATTATCAGTGCAAAAATACATTTGGCGACTACGAGTGTATCTGTGCTCATGGCTATTCGAGATTGTCGGACAAGAAGAGCTGTATGGTGAGCCAAAATAGGTTATTTTTACTTTTCCGTTTCTCAATCATTCGAGACATCGGCTTCACGATGTAGCGCAAAGTTCTGACCGCTTGGAAATTTAGGGTAAATCTTATTTCATTTTTCGTTTGTGAGTATTGTTTCGAGACTACCACTACATCGGATAAATGAAATGTAATCATCCTATTTCTTTTAAAGTGGTGAAGGATTGCTAGTTAAATTTTCCCACAATCAGATAAGTATACTCTACGTTTCTACTGAATTTCGTATAGTCCTACTTCCCAAAAGGTACTCTCAACCAGGCAGATGTGGACGATACATTAAACATCGCTTTAGTCCATTAAGCGACCCCGGCTAGACTCGAAACATGAAAGTGCGAAGTGTAATCTCATCACGCTTATCACTAGACCACAGCACAGAAGTGAATTTCAATGAAGGCCACGAATTTTGCAACATCAAATTCTATGGTAAGATTTTCAATGAAGCAAAGTTATATCTCATAAATCCGATTTACTGGTAGTCTCGAAATACTACTTATAAACAAAAAAATAAGTAACTCAAGTCCTCCCTGGATGAAATCACTTTTGGAAAATTAAATTTAAGCTTCAGCTCTACTCATATCATTGTGGAAAAATTCAGCTACCAGTCCTTATCACTTTAAACGAAATAGGTTGAGAGTTCATTTCTGAATTTTAGTTCCCATTTTTCTTTTACTTGTAGAGATCAGATGGAAGTTATGCTGTATTCCTTTTTTGTACGTTCAGTATCAGGTTTATACATCAAGTTAGCGTTGTGGGGGGCAATAGAGGACAATAGACTAAGATTTATGTTTTGTATCCTTATCTTCTTGAAAGTGTACGATTTACTCTGACGTGCTAAGCAATCGGCATACATGCTATGTCCGATATGCCAGTAACATTTGCAAAATTGGAATTGGCGCTAAGTTGCACTCTTTAAGTAGTGGCAGCAATAAATTTTCGACAAAACTATTACCTATACATTTGAACCAAATATGTGTTTCAAGTTTTTACCTGAAGAAAATGTGTTTTCGTGCACCCTAGCACACATTTCTGTATGGGCTGTTTTCTGACTGGGAAAACATCGTCTTCACTGAAAAACGAGTTACTTCACAATCGTAATGCTACTTTTACCAAACACTTTTTT